AAATATGAGGAAATGATGAATGATACAATGTAATGTGAGCTGACTTTTCCTTTTATTTTCTATTATGGAAGCGTTTATTTTAGCAGATTAGGACTTATTTGGTAATGCCACATTACTTTACTGAAAAATGATGTGTAATACAAAGTAAGTCTTTTATCCTTTTTGGCCACTCCAAGTACCGGTACCGTAACTGTGCAACCATTTCATAAGATCCAAGTGACAGCTTAGATTTTAGATTTTATTATTTAACAAAAGATACACTGACCGAACATAAAAAAATAGGAATGTCCGACTAATGAGTAGTCAGTTGTCAATATTGGCATTTTCTGTGCACTCACAAGTAGTTTTTATGCTTCAGGCACACAGGTTAATAGATCTGTAGATCAAGCCCTCCAAATTAAAAGTCCAAAGGACCAGATTTACTAAGAAAAAGACTCATTATACAGACCTTAGAATTCATTTGAAGTGTTTTTGTTGACCAGCAGAAGCAGCAAAACCAGTGCCTCTTCCCCGATCAGTGCCCACTGTTGACCCCACACTGCTCAACGCCCAGCAGCAGGGTAAGAACACACACACACTAAATACAAACCGCATACAGATCCATCACATGGGCACCACAGACATGTTTACACACACAGGAGTTCTTTTCCTCTCTCTCTTTCCAGCTGTCTTTCTGTTTAATTCCCCAAACGTGATCAGAGAGCTTGAGCTCCGTCAGAAAGCAGCTGCTGGAGTTTTAACAGAAACTAAGAGTGGGTTGATTTACATCACCAGATCTCTGTGGTATAGAGAACTGGTGGTATAGATTTGTCTTTAAAATACTGCTGCTTGTCAAAAATGTCCCCGTAGTTTAGGGCCAAAATACATTTAACACATCTCTGTGGTCTGCAGTCTGTTACCATAGTAAAACCAAAAAAACATGAAGCTGTGCACAGTTGGAATGCATTTCTTAAACTCATCCCAAACTGTAGCTCCTTTTAAATCCAGCTTTAAAGTCTTTATTTTACCTGCATTAAACTTCTTTTATTTTTGTCGCTATTTCTATTTGTGCCTTTGTTGTATTACCTTGTTTTTACATGTTACACTATCATACCTTTTTGTATTTGTTTTAAAGATGAAAATGCACATTGTCTGTCTCTGTATGTATGAATGCAAAGACTTCTTTATGTTTATCTACCTTTATGTTGTAATTACGGGGCGATATGTTAAAATTTTCCAACTGGCCATCGTCAGCTGAACAACCAACTTACGAATCACTCTTCTGGTTCTGTATTTTTTTATTTTTAGCTTTGTGCTACTGGGTTAGCTCGCGAAACGAGAGTGTTGCTGAGCAGAGGCTAAATTAGCAGAATAAAACAACAACAATCACCCGACTCAGCCATCGCTGGTAGCCGATATATTTGTTCAATAGCCCAACCCTATCATGATCATTTTTATTATTATTATCGAAAAACAGCCAAGAGGAGAACCAAAGAAAGAAAGAAAGGGAAAAGAGGAGAAAACAGGAGAAAGGAAAAATAAATAATTCCCCAAATTATATATAAATAAGTAAAAAAGAAACTAGATGATGTGTCAATCAGATACGACCTTTAAAGTGAGTCTGACAAAAAGTGTGAATAAGAAAAGACATTCAGCTTCTGAGAAGCTGTAATGAGATGAAGGTAATGAAAAGCTGTTGAGAAAAAGCAGAAAACGTTATTATATTTTCACAATTTTCACTTTTTCCCATTTCCTGTCTTCTTACTAAAGCTCTGAGCCTCGTGTTCTTTGTCACTATAAACCAGTGATAAAGTTACTCTTAATGGAAACACTGAGCCGTCAGGCCGGCTCCTAATGAGACATTTACTGTCGTGGAAGAATGTAGGACGTATATATTTGGTACTTGTCACGGGTAGTTTAAAATCTGCTGTGTGTTAAGACTTAAGGCAGATTCAGAGTGAGACATTAACTGTGCTGAAATGGTGGCAGGTTTAGCCACAGGCTTTCAGCTGTCTCATAAAAGTATTTTAGCGTGAAATCTGAAACGCAGAACCTGCATTTGAACATTTCTCCATCACTAACAGGATTATGAGATGGTGGCACAAACTTGACACGCTATTTCCTCTCGTTGATGTCATCACAACAAAAACTTGAGAATCTGAGAACCTGTATGGGTTTGACTCTCCACTGAGGTACTTCACTGTCACAGTTCTGCCTGTTGTCATGCAGTACATAGACATACATCTATTTTACATTCCCACACGTTTTCATGCACCGTTTATGTATTTTGCATTCCATACAGTCAGTATTTTGAATAGTTGGTAGAAAAGACACGTCTAGTCCATCCCAACTGATCTTTGAAGCCCACTTTGAAGTTATGATCTTATGTTATGAGTCTTTCAAGGTCACCCGGTAGCTCAACTCTGATCTTTTTAAAGCTGGAACAAGGATAATGTATGTAAACAGGACCAAGAAAAAGGCAGACGAGAATTGAGAGAGGGCAGATACTAGAGTAAAGGTGACTGAAACAAGAAGAGCCGTTGAAAATGAAAATGTGGTAGGGTCAGGGTTCAGTAGTATTTATTCCACTGTGAAACCAGAATGAAATCCTTCTGAATCCCTTATCGTATCTAATTAGATTCAGCCTCCATCTTTCGTAACAAACAACAATTTAGCTGAGATCGGTATTTATTGCGGAAGAAACTAGTTTTTAGTGTCAGCCTACTGAGTCTTCACATCCTTCACCAAAACCATCACATTAGCCAAACAACAGAATATATGAAATGTTGATCAAATGTACGGACGGGTGACATAATAAGGAGAAACCAACATAAAGATATTCCTAATTTGTTGTTTTGATGGTGGTGGTGGAGCGCACTAAGGGCCAAAATCCTTCAGGCGCAGCAGCAATGCGCCCGGGCTGATCACGCCCATTTAAGACAATGCCTTTAATTCCACGCTGTGAGTGGTTGGTGTAAGTGGTCCGTTGGCAGGAAGTCAGGCACAGAAGTGGCATAAAGAATCCAGTCCTTTTATCCATTTAAAATAACCAGAACATATATGGTTTTCACTTAACTCAAATGTGTAATCTTTGTAATGAGGGGTTTATGCACTGCAACCCTACTATAATATTCCGATGACAAAATCAGAATCAACTTTGCCTGCTCAGCGTTTTTATCCATACCACAGAGCATGATTGGATGTTAACTGCTTAATTGTACCATGCAGTGCACCTGTGTAGAAGCATCTGCATTCATTATGTTTCTCCACTCATTTTTTGAGGCTTTTCCTTTAATTTGTCACCCGTCTGTAGCTGACACAGTAAAATAACAGCTAGTTACTTTTACACCTTATTTTTCAGGAGCTTCTCAGTGCAAATACAGGAAGTCCTGATAAGTCAATCATCTCCAATTATTGATATGATATGATTGATATGACAGATTCAGCCTACGGAGATGTTCTTAATGCAGATGGATCTCTTTTTTTTTTACACAAACGTAGAGTGATGTTACAGATTGGTGCTTCTGGTCTCTTGTCACACGTCTGGCCTTGTTTGTCGTACAAGACTATGTAAAATAAAAAAAAGATTTAAAAAAACATAAAATAACAAGCCATCGACTTGTGCTATTTCAACATGTTTAAGTAATTTTACAATATGACCAACACATACAGTTGGCTATGTTGTAATATAATAAGTAGCACTAAAGTACCAAATACTGTAAGTAGCAGAAATTCTTTATCAACCCTTGTTAAACGACAAAAAGTACCATATTCATAAATACACAAAAACAATTAACAAAGACGAGAGCAAATACTTAAATGAAACTTGACAAAAACAAGAAAAACATCATACTCCAAGCAGAACATGAAAGTTGATCATTTATCCATAGTTTAGAGTGGTGGTATTAATGTCAGTGAAAGCTTTAGGTAAGAGAGTAACAAAACCATGATTACAACATTATAGAGGTGTTATTTTGGACATATACAACTGTCTTTAAGAACATAATTGATCCTATAATAAGAAGACGGCACATTCTTGAACAGTCGGTAACATGACATAGACCAAATATTTACAGGTAGATTTTTCTTCTTTCTTTAAACATGAAGGCTTTCTTTGCTAGAACCTTTGCAGTTTGTGAGTGTTAAATAACCTGTTGGCCTGGTGGTAAAATCTTTCTCTCAGAAACTGAATTTAGAAGTATGTTTACCTCAGCTTTTTGCACATTGCTAATAAAAAAAAACAAACAAGGAGAGGTAAGGAGATTTGTTGAACCTGGAACTGATTCTAAAACAGAGCTAGCTATCAGAACCCAACCCTATGTAAGGGACATTGAGACACCACAAAGTGACAGTGAATTGGGATTTTTATCACAGTTTAGTCACATTCCTGTGTACTGTATGTTAAAAGCAGTGTAATAGCAAGCCACCTTTACATTCTCTATAGGAGAGATGAAGGCTTCCAATGTTCCACAGTGAGCCTGAGAAAATGTTTGGAAGAGATGGAGGGATGATAACATTGCTTCAACAGGAGTCCTCATAAAAATAGCACTCCTCTCTCTCCTCTTCTGAACACCAGAAGATGTAAAATAGCCGCTGACTAACCACTGAAGAAGGGACACTGCAGGAGACGGTGGTGACGGTGATGGTTGCTCTCTGATTGGTCCCTGCACCAGTCATCTGTCTGCCATCTAACCTATCATTTCAACCACACCACCGCCACTTCACCGCTGTCTAGACTATCATTAGCTGGTAGCGGTTAGCCGCAGAGAGAGTGAGAATGAGAGGGAGTGGTGGAGAGCTTATAGTCTGATCACGCAGCTCCATATTTTTCCCATAATTCACTCTCCTTCAACGACGACTGCCAGGTTATTGGGAGAAAACAAGTTACTGTCATTGTACATTTAGTTTCTCTGTTACATTTAATTGTTGTAGATACAGGTACCCACCGGTATGAGCAATGATTTCTTTCATCCTGCTGCTACAACCATTCTTTCTCTGCCTAAAGTGTTTCTCATGCACAGGTTCATTATAAAAACAGCTGGAAACCTGGTAAGTCATCTGCAGTGTATGGCCATTAAGACTTTTCTGTTTGAAAAATTGTATAAAATGCATCCTGACTTTCTATAGAGTCTTCTGTTAAACGTGTCAAAGTAAAGAGTATTTTTTCACTGATAGTAGTCACTAAACCACTCTAAAACAGTAAGTCATGGTACCCAGTAGCAGCACAGCACACATGACCCATCCTACTCTGACTCTGATTGGTTAGTACTCTGTGTCTTCATTGGTTTCCGTTGGTTAGGTTTAGGCATGAGGAGTGAGAATGGTCATGACTTCTCCGTCCTGTCGAATGGGAAGCTGCTGGGTAGCAGCAGGGTACCATTTTGGGACTAATATATTATCATATCGGATCAGTACATAGACTTGCGTACTCGCTGATAACCGATCTGTACCTGTACCTTTATCTGAGGCATTTCCAGTCCAGGTATCTGGTAATACTGGTATCAGAACAACCCTAATTCTAGGTAGGAAAAGTAGAAAGACAAGCAACAAGTACGTACTACTATGTACATGTGCCGATTCA